GTAAAAGACCTGTATGTTAGATGTGGTTGTCGTCTTTATTATTTGGGGGCGCTGAGGCTCAGAGAGGAGAAATACGTTGCCCAAGATCAATGCTAATAAATGGTAGAGCCAGGCCTACAACCTGGACATCAGGTTCAGAGGTTTTGGTCTTCCCAGTATGCTTCACCACCTTTTACGTAGAGGTAAGGCACGGTGAACTTCGATGGATAGCTACCTTATGTTCAAAATGTGTCTCACCATCCTAGCTTTTCCCTCTCTTGTGGATCTTTGACTAGGAATAGAGGTGGCAGTGAAAACTGGAGGAGCAAAATGGGAGAGCTGTTTCTACATCTCGATGCACCCACGCACATTGGTGTCAAGTACCGACACACATCACCGATTTGGGTGGAAGAAGAACAGATGCCTGGAGCAGTGCAGAGTTGGCTAAGGAGAGGCAGGACAAATTGAGGAAAGGATGGGAGGGAAGTGTGTCCTGGAGAGTTCACAGCTTTATCCCTGACAAAGAAAGAGAGAGAGCTTGAGTGTGCTGGGAATGGGAATGGAAATCATGAGACCGCTGTTTTGACCTTTTTTCATAAGCTCATTGAGTGTTTGGAGGGCAGGCACACAGTCTGACAAAATGACCGCTGACATAGTAACCATGAAAGATATGATGACATTTCAGCAGGTTTAATGATCATTTTAAAGGTGAGTTGCTTGTATCTCATGAGTTTATTTGTTCTCTTCCTCTTTCCTACCCTCCCTTCCTTCCTTTCATGAAGTTTCATTGAACACACTCATGTGCTTCCATATGCTTGTGAGTATTTAGTCTGTTCCTCCCAAAGGATGACTGAATACCATAGGAGGAATAAGTCACCACAGAAATACATATTAAGGAAGAGAAACATTTTCCTAAAGGTGACATAACCTGTTAAGATTCTGTTGGCTCACAATGCAGATAGTGGCTAACCTCAAGCAGAGCAGCTTTAATTTCATTCTCTGCCTGGAGGCCTACCTTTGTCAGCAGAGGACAGGAGGCCCATTATAAGCCCATTGCCAAACAACATAGCTATGCGCTCCTCATGGCTCCCTTTAGTTAAACAAATACTTTGCCAAATATTTGAAACTGATTTTTTTTTCCAATTTTCAGGCTAGTTCAAATTCTTAGGCAAGTTATATTTCTATGTTAATCCCTGTAAGTGGAAGGGAGATACTATTCTGGTTTATGACCTCATGTTCAGGAGACTCCTCCCTATACTCTGGTTTTGTGGAAGGACCAATGGTTGTGTATTCAGGTACATTAATTAAGGCAGAAGAAAGTGATAAATCCCACAGGAAAGGTCAGGACAGATGACCGTTGAAGTTCAGGGTGAAGAGATTAGTTCAAGCTGAGGACATCACGAAAGGGATGTCCTCTCAATAGCCCGTGGTGAACAGGTGGCGTTCTAACAGGCAGGTGGTCCCTCCATGCAAATGGGGAGAATCATCCATAGAGTGTATCAAAGCAATGGAAAATAGCCCAGGCTTGGGCACTGTTGATTCATGGGGATGTGGAAACGGAGAGTGGTGCCAAATGTTGCCTTGGCCTGGACAGTTAGTTTTGTCTGCCTAGCATTCTCCTTCCCTTTGCTGAATAGCACTCACATTCTTTCGAGGCTAGCCCCTCCACTGCTCTGGCCATGGGTCCAAATGCTGCTGCCACCTTCACATGGGACCTGCCTTCCTGGATGCAGTGGGCTGGGCATCCCACACAGGTGGGCCAATCACAGCTCCCCTGCTACCTGGCCATAGCTGTTGGTCCAGGGTGGGCACGTGACCAAAACTTGGCCAAAGAGTCTGCAGTCATGTAAAGAGAAGCAGTGATAAGATAGGGTCTTGCTGTATTCCAGGCCCTTGGTTTAGTTTCTGGGGCCTTCTTGCTGCCCAGGTTCCTCCATCTCAAGGCTTGGAGGTTCAAGTCCTTAAGCTTTGTGAGTTGCCCTCGCATGCCTCCAATAAATCTTTCCCTCCCCCTTTTATTTTTGTCTTAGCAAATTTAGGGGAACACTTCTCCCATTTCCAGCTAGAAATCTCCAACTTATCCTTTAAGATGCAGCTTGAAGGTCCTTGTCCTGGAAGCCTTCCCTGAATTCCCTCAGAGTTCATTATTTTGTCCTTTGTGCCACTCTGGCTTGTGTATAATTTTCTAATAGCGCTCTCATTACTGGGTGCAGCTATTATTTAATGTCTCTCACTTTAAGACATAGAATTCCTTGAAGATGGAGACTGGCTGATCTGTTTTCACTCCTTCAGTGCTTGGGTCACAGAAAACAGGCAATAAAGATTGAAAATGTATTGTGGCACAAATTTTCTCACACTACACTCAGACACTTCTTATTTTGTTTTTATTTATTTATTTTGTCTATAATAGATCTGACCTTCCTTACGAAGTCCCACATTCTAGGCAGCAGGAAAGAAAACGGGTATATTTTAGTCTAATATAGAAAATTTGGTCTTATGCAATAATGAAAATAGTCGTTGTCTGTAACTGCTCGGTCTCAGTAAAATATCCAGTCTCCCAGACTTCCTCCTCCTCCTGTTCCTTGGCAAGCTGGTATTGCATGTGATTTCCTGGTGAGGGTGGGGGCAGTTGGTGTTAGGGAGGAGGTGGCCCCATCTTTGAATGCCCTCTGAGTCCTGCAGCAGATCTACTGGCCTGGGCTCTTTCCTGAGCCATAGGTGTTCATGACTGGTCTTCTGGCATCTGGGACCAAGGTCCTAGAGTTGGGTCCTCCCCCCTGTGTTAGTCAGGTCCTGAGTTGGCCTCACCCTGGGTCTTGCACTACAGAAGTCTTAAAATCTCTGCCCCTGGCTGTTGATTCAGGTGCTTCCCTAAAAACATCTGCTACGGGGTCCCTTCCTTCACACCATTGTGGACCCTGTGGCAGGCCACAAGTACAGGACTCAGCCACTTCCTGCTCCTCTCAGAACCTGTGGGATCTTAGGGACCCATGCTCACCACTTAGGCAATAGGGAGCAGCCCAGGAAAGCTGGGCCTGGCCCTGCTGCCCAACCTTGCTCTCCCCCCAGGTGTGCTTGGTGGTGGTCGTCCTCATGCGGTGTGGGGCAGCCTGCAAGGTGAGATCTCCTTTGGATCCTCAAATGGAAGCAAGAAAAACACACCCACCTTCAGAGCAGCCTCTGGCTTCTCTCACACTGTTCCCAACAGGCAGGGAAACCACTTGTCTTATCCCTTTGATCTCCGTTGTCCCTGCCAGTGGAAAACTCTAGTTATGAATTATAATGAATCTCATAACCAGCTCTCATTCATGCTCACCTACTCGGAGGTGCCCAGAGTTGCTCAGGATAATGGAACAAGATCTAAGAACCAAGTAGTTTCCAAACCAGGAGAAAACCAGAACATTTGGAGGAAAGACCAGCAGTGCTTGGCTTTCATTATTCATTCATTCATCCATCTATCCATTCATTCATAATGTTCTTATTGAGGACACGAAAAAATAAGTGAAAGTGATAGGAGAACTGACTGGGTGGTGAACACACAGTGCAGTACATAGATGATGTAGTATAGAAATATACACTTGAAACCTATATAATTTTACTAAATGATGTCACCCCAATAAATTTAATAAAATGTTTTAAAAAGTGAAAGTTATTTGAAAGTTGCTAAGAGACTAGATCTTAAGAGTTCCCAAGAAATAATTTTTAACTATGTATGGTGACGGATATTAACTAGACTTATTGTGATAATTTTGCCATATATACAAATATTGAATCATTATGTTGTACACCTGAAACTAATATGTGAATTATACCTCAATTAAAAAAACCCAAGTGAAAGAATTTACATTTCAGTGGAGAAGTCTCTATTTTGCTAGTATAGTTCCTTGTATAGTTTCCCACTTATCTCCTCTGAAAGGATATTAAGGGGGGTTAAAAACACATGTTTCTAGAGATAGGTGCTGGAGAATTGAGAGATCCTTGTGACTTTTGAAGTAGACGAAATTATTTTTATGTGTCAGGGTCTTTCCAAAAGATTGTGCAGGATTTGAGTTATTCATAGAGTTTCTTGTAATGATGACATATCTTTCCATCTTCTTCATCAGGTTTTTTTTTTGTCTACAGTCACCTGAAATGGTCTTGTCCAACTCCTGGCACTTTATTTGAGGTCTTTCACTTCTGTCCTGGTGTTTGTATACCGTGTTAGTTTTCTTCCCCTCAGTTTGCCCATTTTTCCTTTCTGTAGATTAATTTCCTTTAGGCCATGGAGAATTGTGTCCAGAAGGAAAGAAATTGCTGATTCAGTTTAATCACACCGAAGTCTGCATACCACACATGACTGAACATCTTGATAGCTTGGGGGAAACAAGGGCAGAAAAAAGTTCTTATTTACATATTTAAGAGTCCTTCTTTTTCAAACATAAACATATGTACTCTTCAAGGCTACTTTGTGCTCCTATAATTAGGAATGAGAACTTAGAAAGATTTGGGAGAAAATTGTTATTGTTGCTTTCTGAGGGCTATATTTTCTTCCTCTCTTCCTTTCTCTTCTCTCCCCACCTCCTGCTGTGCCTCCAGAGCATTACAAGGGAAAACGCTTGTGTTCTTCAATAATTTTGATAATTAGTTCTTTCAAAACAGCAGAACAGGGCTTTGTTTAAGATCTGATTTTAGAGTACCAAGTTGTAACTTGTTATTTAGAAGGGATTTTAAACTGCTGTTCCCAGGAAGAGGGCTGGGCAGCCACAGCTCTTATCCCAGAACCTCTGGAATCCCTTCACTTCCATCTCCAGCTATTACTTGTGTTAACAGGACTGATTACGAGGCCTGTTCTCATTCCAGGGCTCACTTTTCCTTGTATAGGATCCCAGAAGGGTGAGATAAGGTCTGAGGGGGAACTGGACATCTGGATTGATGTTAGAGAGTCTCTAGTTTGGTAGACAAAGGTTCTCTGGGTTCTCCCAGACACATCGTGGTCCAGACTAAAATCTTCAGAATAACTTTAGCTTATATATGACCCACAGGAAATTCCTGGGCTGAGGATAATTTTGGAATTTGGATGGATCCTCTCTGTAACCTCAAGTCTAACTCAGAAGAGTGAAGCCAAGAGATTTTTCCAGGCCAAGACTAATATCAAGAAAATCCTAAGAGACTCTTAGAGAAGAATAGGCAAGACGATAAAACGATAGTTTACCTCTGAAAATGTTCATTCTCACCTGTGAGGGTGGGGTTTTTTTCTTTCTTCTGGAGTACACTCAGACCATTAGTAGAAAGGACTATCTGTAAATTTCAGAATATGGTAAAGTTTCTTTTGAATTTGGGAATTTGGGAGATAGTGTCCTGCAGTGAAAAAAGATGTCTTTATCAGCACTGTGTTTGCATTTTGGTTCTATCACTTTATAATGTTGGCAAGTTAATCACTCTCCTTGGGCCTCAACTTTCTTGTCTACAAAATGAATGTGATAATACCTCATGTGGTTATGAAGAGTAGGGTTGGCAAATGGGTAAAAACAGTATTATGTACTCCTGGGTAAAACATTTCCAGCAACAATATATTTACATATATTTTATCCGATATGATTGATTTACTGATAATCTACCATTTTGCATGAGATTCCACAGCTGTTCTTTTATAAAAAGGCAAATTTTAAACACATAACTTGTTTTTTCCTCTTATTTTAGATGTAAAAGACTATTGTTGAAGAGCTAGAAATTATAGACAGTAAAGAGTTGAAAATAAAAACCACCTGTAGTCCATCACCTAGAGAAAGCAGTTAACATCTCAGTTTATCTTTCTCTCGATTACCTTGCATGTTGTGTGATTAAATAAAATGAAATTACATATTTACTGTTCTATGAATTTTCTCTCAGCAAGACTTACCCTGTCATATTCCGGCAGCAAATCCCCAGAGGTGGATAACACAGGCTCAGGAAGTGAACAAACACACCTAGGCACTAAGTCATACTGTACCACATTAATGAAACTTCCTAATGGGAAAATACCAGACATTGTTCAAATACCATTTTCTATGGTTCAAAATAGGATACTCAGGAATCCCAATTATTAAATGAATATGTTGCCGTGTATAATGCACTCCTGGGTATAATGCACACCCATGTTTTTGGCCCAAACTTTCAGGGGAAAAAAGTCTTTTGTTTTAATTTTTTAATTCAAAGTGTTATTAGTTTACATTTAGGTACTTGTTTTCTTGTTTTATAAAGGAATTTTAGCATTTATTTTTTAAACATATTATGGTACAAGACATTTTATGTAACAAATCATTACAAAACACAAGAACAGATATAAGGTACAAGAAATTTTATGTACCAGTAACAAATTTACGATATTTAGACATCATAGAAGGCCAAGAAACTTTGTCACGCAAGTTGGTCGTAAATTCAACAAAACCGATTATCATATTCCAGGGTATTATTTTGCATACAGATATCGTTATTGATTTCTAGGGTTACACTTTTCACTCATAAGCATAAATAAAAGAATTAAAAACATTTATTTAGATACGGAATTTGTACTACCCATGTATAATGCACATCCTTATTTTTCCCTCACAAATTTGGGCAAAAAAGTGTGCATTATACATGGCAAAATATGGTACTTTGAACTACAATACCTAGCAGAGTACCTACCTAAAGCTGCCATTTACTAGTGTGTGACATTGGGAAGTTACTTAAATAGCATCACAGTTCCCTAATCTGTAAAATGCAAATAATAAGAATAGCGCAGTTTCATAGGGTTGATTTGAGTATCAACTGAGTTGATGTTTATAAATGGCACAGTGTCTGGTGCATACTAAGTGCTGGATTCATGTTAGCTGTAATGGTATTTATTACCCAATAGAACAGGTGTTCAATAGATGCTTAGTCGTGGAGTACCTAATGTTTTGCTTCTACCCTCCCTTTTAACGTTGTTGTTTTTTGTTTTTTTTTTGTGATCATCTTCTTCCTAGTACCTTTACTTTGCAAATCTGCCTGATGCTATTATTCCTTTAGTAAAGCAATAACCTGATATTTTAAAGAGATGAAAGGGTATATCCATGGACTCCCGCTAGCAGAGGGCATGCTACGTGGTGTTGCATGGAAGCGCTTAGCATCTGTGGTTTTCTGCACTATGGGAGAATCTGCGCTTAGCTCAGACCCCAACGAGGAAGTTACTTGTCCTACCAGGAGGGAAAGTGAAACTCTCTTATCATCAGAATGTGTAGAAGACCCAGGACAAAATAACAATGGTCACAGGCAGGAAGAGCTCAGAGGAGGACAGCCTGGTGGCTGTTTAGGAACTTGTCAGGGGACTTCCTGGGGAATAGTCCATATTGACTGTGCTTTGAGGATGTTTTTAAGAGTCCTAGATGGAGGTTGACAGCCCTGGGCAGAGCCCAGCAGGTAGCACAGTGTCTGGCAGTCAGTAGACACTCAGTAAATGCTGAAAAAGAGAATGAATGGGTGAATAAATGAGAGAAATAAGAAACTGACACTCCCATCACAAGCTGGGGTAGAGCAAGAACAGCTGGGCAACCCACAAGACAACATCCAGAATCTAAGGAAACGTTACCTGAAGAGGTAAAGAGAGGCTGAAGAGGTTAGTCTCTGAGTTGTACCTGGTACAAGGAGATTCTGTTCTTCCTGAGGAAGAATCCACTCCTTCAGAGAATAGTTGTTGAGTATCTACTATGTACCTGACATGGTTCTAGGCATGGAGGATACAGTGAACAAAACATTCCAAGTTGCTGTTCTCATGGAGCTTACATTCTAGTGGAAGGAAAGAGACAATATACAGTAGATACATGTTAGGTGATGCTATATGGCATAAAGGAAAACAAAGCAGGGCTTCAGGGGTTGCTAGTTTAGGTACAGAGGGTACCAAAAAATGTATACACATTTTAAGAAAGGAAAAACTGTATTAAAATTGTAATAATATATACTGATAACAAAAGATAAATACAAGTCACGTATGACTTCTGCAGTTACAAGAGAGGCTCAAAGTGGTTCCCATCAATGTAATTTTAATACAATTGTTTCCTTTCTTAAAATGTGTATACATTTTTTTGGCACCCTCTGTATACATAGTGGTCAGGGAGGGTCCCTTTGATAACATCTGAGCGGAGAACTAAAGAAAGTGAGGGAGCAAGACATCTGGATATGCAGGGGAAGAGGGATCCTGGTAGAGAGAACGAGAAGCAACAGCAAATAGCCTGAGGCATAGAACAGCCAGGCCAGTGTGGCTGGAGTGGTCAACAGTTTCAGAGAGGCTGGGTGAGGGTAGAAGACGGCAGGTTACGTTTAGTGTGACATTGTGATTTATAATAAGAAATACAGGGCCGGCCGAGTGGCGCGATGGTTAAGAACTCGCTTGGGATGCCAGAGGGCCCCGGTTCGGATCCCACATATGAGGGCCAGTGACACTGCCCTCCACAGCTAAGATGCTGAGCGACGGCTCAACCTGGAGCTGGGCTGCTGTGAGTCGCCGGCGACGGCGTAGGCTGCACTCCCTGTGGCAGTGGGTTGCCATGGGCTACCGTATGTAGCCAGCAGCCAGCGTGAGCGGCCAGCAGCCGCAGTGAGCGGCCGTCCAGAAGCCGGCGACTGATCTGCCTCGCCAGAGAAGAGCACAATGATGGTGCCAACTTGGGCCAGTGAAGCAACGTCCTCCACAACTAGATTGAAGAACAAAAGGACAGCAACTTGTCTGTTCCCCTTCCCCCAATTCCCCAGCACTGTTCCCATCCTCCCAATTCCCCAATAAAAATCTTTAAAAAAAAATAAATAAATAAGAAATACATATTTGGTCTTTGTTCCCATATCTGGCACAGAGCTCCTAAACCCTTGAAATGTCTTAAGTAATAAGAGTGATAAAAGTGTCTTATGTTATGTTAATGAGGTGATTTTGGGACCTAAGGATGGGGGATTGTTGCTAGGAGAACCAACCCTGTGTTTAGAAGGTTGGAACTTCCAGTCCTGCCTCCCAATCCCCAGAGAAGGGATGGGGGCTGAAGATTGAGTTCAGGCACCAATGGGAAAAGATTTAATCAATCATGCCTGTGTATTGAAGCCTCTATCAAGACCCAGAAGGATGGGATTCAGGGAGTTTCTGGCTGGTGAACATGTGGCGATACTGGGAGAGTGGTGTGCTCAGAGCATGGAAGCTTCATGCCCTTTCCCCATTCTTTGCCCTATGCCTCTCCTCCATTGAGCTGTTTCTGAGTTATATCCTTTTATAATAATCCAGTAATCTAATAAGTAAAATGTTTCTCTGAGGTCTGTGAGCTGCTCCAGCAAATTAATCAAACCCAAGGAAGGGGTTGTGGGAACCTCTGATTTATGGTCAGTTGGTCAGAAGTACAGGTAGCAACCTGGACTTGTGACTGGCATCTTGAAGTCCAAGGAGGGGGTCATGGGAACTTCAGTCTGTAGCCAGTTAGAAGCACAGGTGGCAAGCAAGACTTGCAATTGTCATCTGAAGTTGGGGGCAGGAAGAGGCAGTTTTGTAGGACCAAACCCTTAATCTGTGGAATCTAATGCTAGTGTCAGAATTGAGTTAAATTGTAGGACACTTAGCTGGTGTCCAAGAATTGCTTGGATGTGTGAGAGCCCCCTCCCCCCCGTTCCCCCTCCAACACACACACACACACACACACACACACACACACACACACACACACACACACACGCACACGGGCCCAGAACCATTTGAGTAAGGCACTGTAGGTTGTGCTCAAGTTTGGCTTTTACTCTGAATGAGATGGGAAGCCATTGGAGAATTTTGCAGAGGCATGACATGAGTTGATTCCCTTTGTAACAGGATTGCTTTATCCACGTTGTGGAGAATAGGCTACAGAGGGCAGAAGAGTGGTAGCAGGGAGATCAGTTAGGAGACAGTAGTCTTGAAATAGTCTAGGCAGGAGACGGTGGTGGCCTGCCCCAGGGTGGCAGTGGCGGTGATGAGAAAAGGTCCGATACTGGACCTATTTGGTTGTGAAAGAGAACAGTCAAGGCAACTCCAAGGAAAGACAGAGTTGCCATTTACTGAAAGGAGTGGGTAGGTGTAGGAGTTCTGTTTTGCATCTGTCATGCTTGATGTGGCTG